TTAATTTAACATAGTAAAACTTGAGACTTTGAATACAGTACTCCATTTATATAAATGAAAGTAGCTGTTGAGCCAAGAGAGCTACCTTGATAGTAAACTGATACAGTTGTTGCAGATTCTGAGAGAATATTTCCTGTATTACCAATGGTTGTTTCTACTTGTGCTCTTGGCATATTTATTTTAACTGCATCATATTGAGCTCGTGTGATAATATTATTGGGACATGGAGCACTTTGAATGGTAATAATGCTTACAACGAGAAGAATGACGATTATTTGTTGTGTTAATGAAGTCTTCTAAATATTAGGAATACGTATTATTATTTAAAAGAATTTTTTTATAACATACCATTTTTCAATATTATTGCTTGTATTAAATGTTGTTTATTTAGATGCATCATTCTTGCTTCTTATATACCTATAGATCGAGAGAAATACGACATTTGATAATTAGCAATCACTTCCTTTTTTACAGGTGTAAACATTATTAAAAAATCAGACGTAATAGATCATTTTAAAGCAACTATCTCTGAGTCTTCATGCATGATTGTTTTTTTCCAACTTTCAAATTTATTTTATGCGTCGTTGATATACATTCGTCACAATGATTCACACTAATGTGCATGATATCCCGAGGCATGTACACCTGTCAGTGTGTATATCAAACTGTATGATACTTAATATGTGATACGTAGCTTTCTTTTCAGTAAAGAGACAGTCCATCTTTAATGTGTAAAATTTCTTTTCTTGCTTTATCTTAGATAATTAAAAAAGTTGAATATAATTCTTTCGATATTTTCGGAGATTTTTATCGCCAATATATGCATAGTATATCTTTAATTTTTTAGAAATATTCTAAATGATATACAGTAAACACCTATCAAAATTTCCGAAAACAAAAGGGGGGACTTCGCGGCCCCAACAACCCGTCATCGGAACACTCCTGCGCTATAGAGAGCTTTTTCGAAGTACCTATAGATTGGTAATGTGGACTATTGTTGATTACATTTGTCGAAATATTTCAGCAAACTTCAAAATGATGGCCCTTATAGATATTAGTTACGAAGTTTCATATAGATCAAACAAAAATTATACTAGGATATCACTTAACCTTTGTCAATACGTTTCCGCGAATTTATACTTTCTTTCATGATATGTTATTTCTTCCAAATCTCTTTCCATTCATTAGTAACAAAACAAAAGTTTATGATTTATAAAAAAAATATATCAATAACAATTAGCGGTTAAAAATAAAATTATATATTTGTAAAATGAACTATACTTAAATAACATTTTGAATGATTTGCTTGGATAGAATAATATTTATAAAATTATAATTTTAATCATCTTGAGGGTGGGTGTGGGTGAGGGTATACATATTATGCACCTACCTTCACACCCTCCATTATTCCCCACTATTTATGTTTGTTATTTTGATTATATTTAGTCTTCTGTAAAATGAATGCATTCGTTTTCAAACTTCAATGTTAATAATCAATATTGACAGAAAAAAAGGAAGTATGAAAGTATTTCTTTAAATCGATCGCATATAAATCTAAACTAATTGAGAGATTGAATATGGAGATTACTGTTTTATTTATATTTCATCCGATCACATCTTCAAGATAATCTAATGTTTAATGCAGATACATAATCAACTTCACAAATTATATAAAGATGCTTCGAAATGCTTATTTTCTTGAAAATAAAAAGATTTCTACTAAGTTTCTTAATAGACAATTATAAAAGGCTTGATGTATTTATTAATTTTGCTTAAAATAGAATTTAATCTTATTATCTAAAAATATAATATCTTAAATTTTCCTTTTTTTTCTCCGACAATAAGATATTCATCATTTAAAACAAAGTTATTTTTATTTCATTTTATTTAATAATTAAGCAGGTAATTCAATGGTACTGACAACATTTATTTCTACATTGTCTCTTTCATGATTTTCTTGTCTATTTTCTTCTTCTCGTATTGGAACAAGATCTTTACCAATGATCTTATAAATCGTACGTTTTAATTCTTGTCGAAAAGCTTTTGATACGATGATAAATACAAAGAAATTCGTCGAATAAGAAGCAGTATAAATAAATGTCATAAAATTATATAAAAAATTTCGAATGCCTTGTTGTAATATCGTTCCATTTTGATATTTTGTTATAGCATCAAAGACATAAAATGTACTGATTAATGTACCAAAAATAAGGAAAACAACATCTTGAACAAACAAACAACGAAGTAATTGAAAATCTTTTTTTGTCATCGAACGAATTTGATTTCGTTTTTCACGTGGGATTGATCGAATACGACGAACATTTTTAAACGCAAATACACACAAAACAATCATTAAAATATCCAAAATGACATTAATAACTGCTATAGAATATGAAACAAAATCAAGGTAAGTCGATGATAGATCATAATAACATACAAAATAAAAAGGAGCAAACTCTTGAAGATTAACTTTAATAAGTGCATGAGAGTTAAAAACAATCCAAAAAACTGTACTTATACTAATAGAAAAATAAGCTAAACGCTTTGAACTGTACAAACGTGTATCAACATTTTGTGAAGATATTAATAAACGATCAATAGAAGCAAGAATAAGAACAGTAGGTGAAAGTGTAGCAAATAGAAATGATGCATAGAAATACAATTTACATAGAAGAACATTAGAATTCTGTAAGCTTATATTAAAACCATTTAAAAAGACAAGACCAAGCATAGAAGAATTAATATAGCATAAATTAACAAAGAGACTAGTTTTAAAATAAAATACACAAACATTTTTACTCCAAGATTTTTTAAAAAAAACCAAAGCATTTAAAAAGTTTCCAATATTACCTATGATATAACATATAAGAAGAATATATTTATAAACATAAGTTATAATATTGTCAAAAATATTTATGTAGTAGAAGTCGGACGAACTCATTTTTTGTGTAATATTAATAAACAACCCTTTTAAATGTAACCGTTTCTTATATAAAATGAGTTTTTATTTTTCTCTTCATAATTAAATACAACGAGTAATTGTCCTTAAAATGTTTATGTAACACCTACATAATACCATCACGAGATATTTCTGCTACTAATTATAGTTTATATAATGAGACAATTTTCGCATACGTTGTCTCGGCGCTTAGTGGATATTATTTTTAAAATGACATATTGAAAAGCGCTATTAAGGCAAAAAGTAATTTATCTTATAGCTTTACAAGCGCTTGGGGATTTTCGCTTATCTTAAAAGTAGGTTTAAAATACATGCAATTAAATTACTTTATGGAACGCTTTAGAAATTTAATTAAAGATCATATAATTGAAAATAACAAAAACAGTGTCTCATAAAAAAAATCAGACAAGACGGGCAAAAGCTAGTTACCATGGAACGATATTAATACAAAATATATGTGAGGGTGATGGTGTGGGTTAAGATAAGAGATGCTCACATTCACACCAATATCCTTTTTTACCTTTTTGGATGATCTGTAAAACACAATGGGTTAATTTTTTGAGCTAAAAATTGTTTTAATAGTAGAACTTACTAATATCTATCTCCAAAGAATATCGTTGTTAACTCTTATTACGATGTAGTTAAGAGACAAACTTCTGATTT